GGATATCAGTAAGCATTTTGTATTTTTACTTCTTTTCTCTACGCAGCATTTTTATATTTTTACTTCTCTACGCGTTCCGTACCTCCCTCCCCCCCTCCAACAAGTTCCTTTCGCGACCGCGACGCCAGCGCCGCCTGGTGGCAGCCAGGTGGCTGTATCCCGGCTTCAGAACCGCCACTGTTATATTACTTTCGTAATAAAATTAAAGATACTAGTGAAGATTCGTTACATTAAAGATGCGTAAGATGCGCTATTAACACTATTTGTGTCATTCTATTTTCGTTTTACATTTGATACATGATGAAGATTGAATGACACAAATAGTGCTAATAGCCCAAGCGCACCTAGATCGGATGAGTTATATCGGCTAAACCGTCAGGATAATCCATACCAATAAGTAATTCTATTTAATTTCTTATTTATTTTCTTTCTTGTTTATTCACTTAAAATTAAAATGAAATTAGTGTTTTATTACAAATTTTGAACTGAGTATACCTGTTATAATATTAAAAGAGTCTACTATGATATATGCAATACTAAACTTAACACTTCATTTAAATCTTAATTTTTTTTTAGTGAGTAAATTTTTTATTAATATTTTACTGTGATTTACCTAAAATTTTATAAAAATCTTATTCAGCTTTAATATTTTTCTAAATATAACTCTATACGAGTATATTCGAGAGCGAGATAAAGCGAGAGGGATAGAACAAAAATCTGAGCGAGAAGGCGTTTGAACTACAGTTCGACTTACGCGAATCTCTGATTATAGGTCGAACGCGGCGGTTTTCTGGCGGAGTGTTTCATAGGCGATTGTACTTTTTGCAGAACGTTCACTTTAACCAAAAAGGCAAAGAAAAAGGAAGATCGTAGCTTGATTCGGTTCTTTTACCTCCTTTGTAGCACAAAGGATTTCTTTTTTAATCGCCTAAGAGATTCTAGAAAATTGTAAAAATTGAGGTGATCCCCACGATTCGGGTCGCGATTGGCAATTTTCGACTCGAATCGTGGGGGTCATCTCAATTTTTTCTGCGATTGCCAAGCGGTACTCTATTGCCATGCGCGCCCACCAAATTAGGAATCCTGATTAGGGTGTCGGTATGATACGCGTTTCGCGTCACGCGAGCGCGCGTGCGCTGTGATTAATCTGAATCTGATGGCCATTTTAGTTGGAATTTGTGTACGTGCGACGTGTAGATTGATTATATTTTTTGCCTTTATTGACGAAGTGATTGTCAATTTGTGTTTTTTGGAAGTGTGTCTTCTAGAAATGTTTGAAATTTTTCTAAAAGCTTCCAATCCGCCTGTCGCACGCACACTAAATCTACGAAAACTGATTTTTAGGATGCATCTCGAACAACCCGCCCGCCTTGTCACGCAGTGACGAAAGTAATGTTCATGCTCGGCATACAGATGTCGCGCGTTCGGCTGATTATTCGGAAGATCACGGCGCTTCAGGTGGCGCAGATTGATGGTTCTTGCGCGTGCAGCGCACGGTGCACCTGTGCGTGCACATGATCGGAGATGTTTTAAGTTTGAAATAATAAGAAATTATTTAAGAGATATAATGACGTAGACGCGGTCATGTAATCTGACTATGATATCAAATGAAAAAAAATTAGTGGAAAATTGTGATTACAAAGTCATGGTTGCGCAATATTTGAGAACGTAATCAGAATAATTTCAAAACGAAAGCTCGGAAATGTAATATAGTACATTGCATTAAGCGGTAAATATATTATTACAAAGAACTTGTTAAATTTGTTGTATTCGTATCATCGAAAGATGTGAAAGGTAAATGAGATTAACGCGATTATTACCGCGATTACATGCGTTTTGACTAATGCGAGTACATTGAATAAAATCGCGCGGTCTAATATAATGTGCGGTTTTACTGCTCTTGCGAATTCGCGTGTAGAGTGGTCGAGGCAGTGGGTCCAGGCAGCATCATCAATTTGACTAGAGGTCGGATGAGCTCGGAAGACGCTGTGCGGACTGTTGCCACTCGGGTCACCCCGTCCTCTCCTGGGTGCAGCTTGGTGATGCAAGCTAGAGGCCATTTACTCGGTGGTAATGTCTTTGAAAGTATGAGGCACAATGAGCCAATCTGAGGCGCAGTGTTTACCTTGCACCACTTCGAGCGTGAGGTCAAAGAATGCAGGTACTCGCGTGACAACCTTTTCCAAAAATGATCACGCATTTTTTGAAGATGCTGTCAACGAGAGAGAGAGAGAGAGAGAGAGAGAGAGAGAGCTCGTTGCCTTCTCTGTGAGCGGTTCTGGAATGGCTAGCAGCGGGACTCCGATGAGCAGATGGAGTGAGCGCGGAGAGGTCGTCGAGATCATCAGATAACGCCAGTAAGGGCCGAAAATTCAGGTAGGCCTCTACCTAAGCTAAGAAAGTGCTCATCTCCTCGTAAGTGAGCGTGGTGTCGCCGATTACTCTTCGAAGATGATACTTCATCGATTTTACTCCAGCTTCCCAGAGGCCTCCGAAGTGAAGTGCGGAAAGTGGGTTGAATTGCCATCGGATTCCTTCTGTAACAGCAGTATGCGCGATGTAGCTGCCATTGATGGAAGATGCACAAAAAAGTTCTCGTATCTATCAATCGGCGCCAATGAAGTTGGTGCCACAATCGGAATAGATATCCTCTTCGTGATGTGAATCGACGAAGTGCGGTCAGGAATGCGTCCGTCGTGTAATCTGAAACGACCTCAAGATATGTCGCTTTAGAATAGAGACACACAAAGATTGTGATGAATGCCTCGTGTGCTCACATCCTCGATTCGTGCGAATGCGTATCAGCCCGGCATAATCGATGCCGGTTCTGAGGAATGGACGTGCAGGAGTTACTCGTCCTTGAGGAAGATTACATTGGCGACTGTGGCGTGACTCCTCTCCATCTGGTACAAGTGACGCACTGCAGTCAGTATTTTGTTACAGCTCGCCCTAGAGGGATCCAGTATCGTAGTCACAACAGGCCCAGAATCAATTGCACTCCTCCATGGAGTGTTCGGCGGTGACATGATGATATCAAGAGGCGTGAATGCGGCGGAATGATCATCGGATGCCGCTCGTCTGGAGAGAAAACTACGTGCTTCAGGCGACCTCCGACTCTTAGCACTTCGTGTTTGTCTATGAATGGATTCAAGGTCCGTAACTGGCTGCGGGGTGGCATGGGGCGCTGACTCTTTGCGGCAGTGACCTCGTGCGCACGAGTGCAGTGCTCGGATCCATCGTCTTGTGCGGCATCGAGCTCGTCGGGTGTTAATGTCGACTCCGGGTTTCCTTTTGTCGTTGGCATCCTTTTTGGGCGCAGCCCAACGTAGATACCACTGTAACTCTCAGGAGCCGGTGAAGTGAGGCTAATCGGAGGAGGAGCCTATAATATGAGAGTGGACGCGTTGCTCGAGCAATTCTTCCGGTGGAGCTTCAGGTTGTGTGCTAGGCCAAGTGGAGTTGTCCTTGAGCAGCCAAGAAGGATCTGACCACTAAAGTGGATGGTCAATAAGCTCGCCTAATGTTATCCCCGGAGAGGCGCAGTCGGCCGGATTATCCTTTCCGGGAACATGACGCCATTGTCCTTCTGGAAATGCTTCTTGTATCATGGACACGTGGCTGGCCACATAAGTCTTCCATTGAGAAGCGTGACCCTGAATCCAATACAGAGTGACCTTGGAGTCGGACCAGAGTGACTGGAGCTGTGGACAAGCTTAAAACAATACGTGTGCGACTAATTTTGTGAGCAAGACAGCGGCGCACAGTTCCAATTGCGACAAGGACACAGACTTGATCGGAGCGACCTTGCTCTTTGCCGCTAGTAAGATAACGTTGACACTGTTGGAGCTGATGACGCGAAGATACACCATGCGTACCCTCGTTCGGACGCTTCAGCGAATCCATGCAACTCCAGTCTCGCGTCCTTGGCGCCTGTGTTCAAGCAGTTGATTCAAAGCTGTTCAAGCCTTGGGAGTTCCTCCAGGAAACGACTCCAAGGCATCTGCTTGAGGGAGCGGGGCATCCTAAGTCCAGCTTTTGCAACCATGCTGATTGAAGCAGGATTTTTGCGCGGATCACTACTGATGTCAACTATCCGAGCGGATCAAATAAAGTGTGGTCTTCGAGAGAGTCTTCCTCTTGGTGAATTTTTCAACGGTGCGGCTTTGAATTGAAAAGGTGAATGTGACCTCAACCGGATGCCAGCCCAGCGTTGTGTGGCTCTCGTGTTCCTACAATCGCGAGTCGGCGAGACAGTGATCCGCTGTAAAATACCAACGAGAATTTCAGGATTGTTGGCAGCTCATTTTTTCAACGGGAACCCGCCTGCCATGCACAGCTGACGGAGCTCGGATTGCATCGCGATTGCCTTGTCTTTAATGTGTGCTCCGGTCACGATATCGTCGACATAGCAGTCGTGTCTCAGTACGGCGGAACCTCGCGGAAATCTTGCGTTCTCGTCGTCTGACGAAGTATAGCAAGAAATGGCGCGCACGACAAACCGTATGTCACTGTGTTCAATCTATACTCGCGAACCGGATCTGAGTGAGTGACGTCAGAGAATGCGTTGATAATCTCTATCCTCGGGCGCCACAAGAATTTGGCGGTACATTTTTTCAATGTCCGTCACGATCGCGTATTGGTGCCACCGCCACCGGGTCAGCACATCGGCAAGCAATGGCAACAAATTAGCGCCAACTAACAGCTGCGTGTTTAGTGACTTACCGGACCTTACTCTGAGATCCGTTGAATATCACCCTGAATTTGGTCGACGCGCTCGATTCGGAGCACTCCATGGTGAGGTAGCATCTTGCTTGTGACTCCGATAACTTTGGCACTAACTGTGATTCAGTTCTTTGTATTCTTTTAGAAAGGCGTGCAACCGTCTGAATCGAACGTCACGTTCGCACCGACGCTCCATGACGGTAAGTAATCGCTCGGCTGCTTGGCGGGTGTCGCCGAGTGCGCTTAGTGACGCGGTCGCACGACGTACCTTTCTGTAGCTATGCAGCTGTGAGTTCGAACAAAGATTTTCTCGCATCGTTGTTCTTCTGGCGTGGTGAGGCACTAAGGTTGAAGATTCCTTTTCCCGCTCCTAAAAACATTGCACAAGCGTGGTCAGCTCGTGGTCGACGGTGCACTGGAAGGAGCGATGTGGAGTCATTGAGAGATTCTCCGCAGCCTCCCGAGAGAATCCATCCAAGCAGAGTGTACTGAGCGACAGGAATGTGCGGATCGTCCTTTCTAAGGCTCTCTTGTAAAATAATAGAGCACACTTCCGTGACTAACAGCTCGATGGGATCGGCGGCCGAGAATTGCGGATCAGTCAGCTGGAGACCTTCAATGAGGCCATGTAGTCTTGCATGTTGTAGTTGCTCCTTAATACAGCGAAAGACGTGGCAAGATAAAAGCGACAGCGGTAACTCGAGCTCCATTGATCCTGGAGGTAAGACTGAGAGACATCTTTCCGCGACAGGGAGTCCATCGAAGGTGAACCATCGATTTCGAAAATTGAGATTGCTGCGCGGGATCGCGGCAGACGTAAGCGCTGGACTAGCGCCTCGGAGATACTTCCGATCCTTGATTAAGTCTTTAACCGGGTATGGATCCCCGTGACGATCATCGACAGTAATTCTCGCGATAGCGAGTAGAATAGCCTTGCATTCGTCGTCTTGATATACAGCGGTCAACGCGCTTACGTCGGCGGGCTTCGCAGTAATGTACACTTCACGTAGGAGCGTGTGACGTCTCGCCTTACACGTAAAGCACGTCTTCGTTAATTGGCACTTCGCGATTGGATGCGAACCGAGGCAATTGTAACACTACCGGTGTGTTTTCGCGATGGACTTTTGTTCGGATGCGGATTTCGTCTTGAATTGTTCGGATATCATTACATTATGCCGACTTTTGCACAGAACATAGCTAGGAACGTCGGCTACACGTTTAGTGAAGTGCGATTTCGCGATTCGCAATGGATCTTCGAAGACCTTGGTGACCTTTGGTTTTGTGACCTTGAGAGTCAGAGTTCGCTTGATAATAAAGTCCATCAAGGTATCATGATCTGGCAAGTCCGTGGAATCGCTCGTGTGAGATTCCCACTAGAGGCGAGTCTTTGGGTCGAAGAGCTCGATGATGAAATGATTGAAAAAGTCGAAGCCATACGAATTAATTGGTCTTCCGATACTTTCTTAACCGTTCATGGCACTGATCGCGGCATTATAAATGCGATTAAGTTCTTCGGCGATATCGCTTTTTATTTTCTGCACTGCGATGAACGTGCAAAAATTGGAGCGCGACAACTCTTTTTTGTTCTCGTAATATTTGCACAATAGTGCCCATGCACGAGAATAATTATCTCCGGTTACGGCTAACGGACGTATCAATGCTTCCGCGGATCTTTCTAAGCAATGTTTTAGGTGTTGGAACTTCTCTACGTTTGAGATAGACAGATTATTATCGACGATGGACAAGAATATGTCTCGAAATGATGGCCAGTCTTCGGCGCCCGAAAAAAATCGGATTTTTAGACGCGGCAGCGCCTGTTTTGGTAGAAAAATCATTTCCGATTCATTCAGAGGAGCTGTATTTGACTTTTCAGCCTTGAGCTTTGTAAGATAATCGTTCAACAGGCTGCTGCACGTAAGTATTTTCCGCGAATTGAGACATACTATACTCACTTCCATCGTAGGCTTCCTTATAACATGCTCGAATAAGCTCATGCTGTTTCTCGAACTTCGTCCATAGTTGATCGAGAAGCTCTAAGCGGGTTTTGACAGCGTGAAGAGTGATGTTGGTCATCCCCATTTTAAATTGGCCACTGATCTGGCCATGCGACCGTGAATGTCATTCTGAGCGGTCAGCAAGGTATTTATTTCATCACTCATAATTTTACTTACTTACGTTCTCTCTTTGTTCTTAGATATTACGCGTACAGAACGCGATGCTACTCCCGAACGAGCAATAAAATCGGCGAAGGCGAATCTGGCTCGAAGGGTCAGCAATATTCGAGAGCGAGATAAAGCGAAAGCGATAGAACAAAAATCTGAGCGAGAAGGCGTTTGAACTACAGTTCGACTTAAGCGAATCTCTGATTATAAGTCGAACGCGGCGGTTTTCTGGCGGCGGAGTGTCTCACAGGCGATTGTACTTTTTGTGGAACTTTAACCGAAAAGACAAAGAAAAAGGAAGATCGCAGCTCGATTCGGCTCTTTTATCTTTTTTGTAGTTTTGTACAAAGGCTTTTTTTTTTAATCGCTTATGATATTCTAGAAAATTATAAAAATTGAGGTGACTCCCACGGTTCAGGTCGCGATTGGCAATTGCCAAGCGGTACTCTATTGCCATGTGCGCCTGCCAAATCAGGAATCCTGATTGGGGATGTCGGTATATTACGCGTTCGCGTCACGCGAGCGCGCGTGTGCTGTGACTAATCTGACGTTTTGGCGGTTGGAATTTGTGTACGTGCGGGTTGATTATATTTTTTGCCTTTATTGACGAAGTGATTGTTAAGTTTGTGTTTTTTGGAAGTGTGTCTTCTAGAAATGTTTGAAATTTTTCTAGAAGCTTCCAATCCGCCTGTCACACGCACATCAAATCTAAAACTGATTTTTAGGATGCATCTCGAACACTAAATTTATATGTTTAAAATTACAGTATTTATATATAAACTTAATAAAAATGTATTAGATTAAAAATTAGTTTTAAGTACATAATAAAGTATAATTTTATTTTTTTATATACATAGCTCAATATATGCTTAACATTTTTGTTAGAACATTTATATATAACGTACATATAACATGTTATATTTAATGTGATTTTTAATATGTATTTATATGTAAGTATAGCTAAAAAAATTTTATAATGTTAATTATTAAGCAGTTTATATTTACAATAAAAATATTTAAGTATAAATAAAATTTATTTTGTGTTTCAAATTTTGAACAAGACTTAATAACTATACATAATTATTTTGTGTTTATAAATAAAATATTTTAATTATTTAATGTTTTAAATACGAAGAACATTCATAATTTCTATTCTTTTCAATAAAGCTTCATTATGTTCTTTTTCTTCGTTAATATTTACCGGAAATTCATTTTCTTCCCTTGCAGATCTTAATTCTATCTCATCTACAAATTCTTCAGGTAAATCTCCTTTTAAAATACAAACATTATGCATAATACATGCAGAAATGATTAATAAGCTAATTAGATCATGTCTGACGATTTCAAGATATTTTAAGCGTTTGAATCGTCCCTTAAAATATGCGAATGCATTCTCTGTCTTCACACGACATTGTGATAATTTCATATTAAAATTTTTCTCTCTGTTAGTTAATGTCCCAATATTTTTAAAGCCAATTAATAAATGTGGAGATAACTTATAAGCCAGATCTAGATGACTATCTTCGAGAAAATCAATTGATGTGTTCTTTATTCTTTCATATAAATTAGATTTTCTGAATAGCCTCATGTCATGAATAGATCCTGGCTCTCCTGTATAAACATCTAGAAATAATTTGTATACATCTTGTAAAAAAATAGAATGATAATTTTTTCTATTGCAATAAGAATTTGGGTTATTTTTCGGTTTTAATATATGAATGTGAGATCCATCTATGGCTCCGATAATTCCTAAAAACAGTTTAAAAAAATACAAATAAGTGTAAAAGTCGTATTTGGCTAAAGTAGATCTTAATACTTAACGTTTTATAATATTTTGCGTAAGTATTACAAAATTAAAAATTTAGAATGGAAAATTATATTTATGTACTAGGGAAGCCATTAATTTCTTGGAATTTTCTCATTATCTTTAGAGTGCGTTCTCTATTTGGCCATGATATAATTTTATATCGAATATTAACTTGCAGTATATTGGTTCTATATAATACATCCCAACAAGTACTTTTGCTAATACCAAAATGATCGGCTACTGATCTGAAGATAATTATGGATATTCAAGTCTTTATACATATGCTATGTTATGGCAATTTATGAAAATGTACATATACAGGGTCCGGTAAAATGATCTCCCACATTTTGCACCGCCACTGATTAAAATGTGGGAGATCATTTTGCCCTGTATATAACACAAGTGTATATACATACCGGAAAAATTCCATATTTACTAAACACCAAATAGTGATTATTAGTTGTCATTAGTTGTCAATCAATAGTAATCATTATTGTGTAATCATTATTGTGTAATATATTTATTGTGTAATCAATAGTTAATCATTAGTTGTTTTTTAATGAAAGCGGTTTCTGTCTAACATTATTATGATTCTTCTTAATGCTATGAATTTTTGTAAGCAGGTCTTCAAAAGTATCCGATGTTATTCAGAAGTACATTTGAAATCGTTTTATTTGAAAATTGAAAAACAATTTCTTCTATGTATTGGTAAATTTTTGAAATTTGATTTAAATTTTTATCTTTGTTTGGAGCGAGGCGTAACTTAATTTCCGATCATGATAATGATTGGTATCGAGATCGGAATTGCGTGGTGTTTTGCGCATGACAACGTCACGTGTAACTCAAAGTAGCGCGAAACGCCGTAACCAATGGGGATCACGCTTTACGCGCCGCATTCCCCAAAAGTCGTCAATCGCGAGAGGCACCTTAGTGAAAGGCGGCCAATTGAGTATGCTCAACTCACACTATAATCGACTATTTAAACTGAATTGTCATAATTGATAAAATATACTCGCGATGCTTCTGAATTGTTCTTTTGGTGACGTCATTTCCTCTAAATCAAATCTCGCATTTTTGAGAACAATCCAGAAGTACTTGAGTATAAAAAGAGAGGAGAGTCTCTCTGAGCTCAATTTGAGAAAGTTATCAGTGTGAGTACGTGCTATCATCGGTGTTCTTTTCCGTCGTGTTCGCTCACGTTCGAACTCGAATTCCTGCCGCTTAAAAACGAAAATCTGGAAACGAGAAATTCAGAATTACGCGCTAAATTGCAAAATTCTTATGGAGTTGCTTGCTCTAGGAGTAAACGTTTAATTAATCTGTGAAAACAGTAATCTTATTACGATTGTCTGTATTATATCTGTGATCATAGTTGTGAAGTGGAATAAAAAATTATTTGTGTGTGGATTAAACTACTTGCGTATCTAATTGTCGTCTTGCTCCGTCTCACTCTCCGACAATCTTCATCATCATTGTCGTCAAAAAATATTTCTCGAGCAAAATTAAAAATTATAGGAACCATTTCTTCATTCATTTTGTTATTGGTAAATCTCAAGTTTGTCCTCACCACTTTCAATGTTGATAAAAGTAGGCTTATTCAAAATAATCAAAATGCTTGTTAAATATGGTAAGTGTTAAAACCCTCAAATTTTGATAAAAATACACTCAATTGATACGTTTTCGTGTAAAAATGTGACAAGAAAAAAACATCGCTCCTGTCCTGTGAATCGAAATATTAATCGGTAAAGTTGACCGCTATTTAAATTAGGAAATCTGTTATAACAGTGGTTCTCTGTTATAACACTGCTTTAAAAACACAAATTCTCTGCACTAAAAACAAATACTGCTAAAACAGTAAATGTTTTGTGTTTTTAAAACAGTAAATCACTGCTGTGAAGATTCCTAATCTGAATAGTTGTCGACTTTAATGATTAATAACTCGATTCAGGGCAGATCGACGTTTTTTCTCGTCATATCTTTACTTTTACGCGAAAGCGCATCGATTGAGTGCATTTTTATCAAAATTTGAGGCGGCCGGAATCTTCTTAACATTTACCATAATCTTATGACAGTTTACATCTCTGTGCTCTGTATCGTAAATTCGGAATTAATTTTCGGCATTCGGTTTGCTCGAAGATTACATGATCAAGCCTGCCATCTATTAACTCGCAGATTTACATTGTCCAACACATCTCCTGTCGCGATATAAAATCGGCCACCCGTGTATATATGTATACGGTAAACCTCGTATACATAGCAGACCGAACTTTATCGAATTCTAGCGATCTAATAGAATTAATTAACAATTAGATATGAGATCATTGCTAAGGAAAATTATTAATTAATAAATTATTATAAACAATTAACTATATTATCAATCATATACAATTATCAAGTTTTATGCTGAATTGTGACAAATCGTCAACACATACGTAAATTCTTTAATACGATCTATACTTTGATTCTCAATAATATAAGAGGTTCTTAAATTCATATCTGAATGAAACACCATCCGCTAACATCCAACTCCAAATCATTTCTTTTCAACCTCCTTCAAGCGTCATCTAAAGACAATATAATAGTACAATCCATTATTATATATAAAATTAATTGTGTGTAATACAGACATGAATCAACTATAACTAAAAGTAATGTAGAAAGACGAGAAAGATATTCTATTCATAATTCACAGCCAATTAATTGTTATTCAGAAAAATGTAAATTAATTTAATAATAAGATTAAGCAACCGACTAATCATATGTAAAACACGTCTAATAATAATTCTAACGCGTTAAAATGAATAAAATTGTTAAAGTTCTTTCTTAAGTAAAGTGTTACATCCAAGCTTCGCATGCATGGAGCTAAGGAGATGAATGCAAGGAATCGAATTATTAGACCGATTTAGTCGTGTCCAGGCTCCGAACCGCAAGAGAGCTGTGAGGAAGGAACGATGCAAATCGGGAGGCACTTCGCTTAGTTCTGAGGCTCCTAATGAGCCAAGGATCGAATGGAGGACAAAGTGGAAATCTGAATTCATGCTCCGTTAAACGGACACACGAGTCGGACGTACTTTTAATTTAAAAAGCCCAAACTGGGTCAGTGTGCCGGGAGGACGCACTTTAACGCCAGATGTGCCAGTACGTCCGTATGCACTGGCTTTCGGTCATCTTAACTTAATCCAAGGACTGGGGAGAGAATGAAGTGCAACCGCAGAAGAGCTTACAAGAAGAAGTTTGAATACAAGAAGAAATTTTTTAAATTAACAAACGATTAAATTTAATAGTAATATAATAAAAGAAATGTTTATCAATACAATTTTGTTATACGATTTCTTTGGTTTATTTCGTCTTGGTTAGGTATGTTTTAATGTGCGTTTGTGAAAGCATCGTATGGCAGAAGAGAGAAGTTACGGAGAGGATAGCGAGGGAATAAAAAGAGAAGGAAGTTTTGATGAGCAGATTTGAGAGGATTTGGCCTGATTTTCCTCAGACGATAATAGTATTAACGGGCGGACACGAGCGACTAATCGACAGGGGCGAGCAATTATCGTGAGGCGATAGCGACAGGGATTGAAATTATAGCGTGAACAGACTGCAATGTTTTATTTTCTTTTACGTGGGAACTCAAAAAGGAAAAAGACAGAAAGAAAAAAAAAGAATAAAAATAAAATTAAAATAAATGAATAATAAAATGAAATAAATTACCGAAAGAAAAAGCGAAGGCGATCAGAGAATAGAGATATCGACTTATTACCGACTGAAATGCTCATCATGAGGGCCAGGATGTGCGAGGTTGGTAATGTTTCTTCAGCGCTGACTCTAAATCTTTAAGTCTCGCTGGCCAAGTATGCGAGGTCGATGGAATTTCTTTCGCACTGCTTCTAAACTCTTAAAGTGTTGGCCGGTTAAGAAAATAAGAACTTCGGACTGCTATGTCCGTCCCTAGAGAGAAATTAGGAAAAAAAAGCTGAGTCCTGCGAAACCAGGGTTTTTATAGTAACCTGCCTTGATTAATAGCGCATTGATTGTTCGTTAATAAGTTTGTTAACTAAATGGCGGAACCTATTTCTTGCTTTCTAATTGGTCAAGGATGGAAAAGGATGATGAGGATCTGTAGCGTGTGGAAGTGTCATCCTTAATTTTATGATCTTAAAATTTATGAGAAAAACGCACGTGCAGTAAGTCGAGGAAGCGCACGTGCAGCGTCGACACGAAACCACCCAGAATCTACCCCTGAACGTTGCATGTCGCTTCTTAGATTTTATAATCACAGACTCGTGAGAATCATCCGCTTGACCATTAAAAAGTATTTTGGCGCCGGTTTTATGCTTTCAATGACATATTTATTATTATTTTAGCCGCAGTGTCCGAGGGGCACCAATTCGGTGTCCTTTTTCCCGCCGCTTGTGCATGTGCACCGATTTTTATCTCGGAGCGACATTTACGAAGAGATACTGGATTCTTCGTTTTAATTTTTAATGGGAAAAGAAAATTTTTAGTCTTCTCTAAGCTATAACGCTCAACTTGTTCGTTATTCGCAGCTGTCTTTTTATTTCAATGAATTCCAGATCTCCAAAAGAAAAGAGTCGTGGAAGTTCGCTGGACGTAACAAAAGAAATATCATTATCGCAGTAGAATAAATTTCGCCGCATAGAGCCATAGCACCATGACTCACAATTTGCTGATCTAGAAAAGTTAGATCACGCAATTACGCCACCCATAGCATAGCTACTTCGTACGACGAATCACACTTATTTTTAGATGTGAAGTCACTATGACTCATGACCGAGTGAGTCTAGTTTCGGAACTAGCAAACGTTATTTACATATAAGGATCGAAACATGCGATCACATCACTATCATATAAAGAATGAAAGCTAAAGCACGGCATTACCTAGAAAACTTAATGAATCATATTATTTACCTTTGTCTAGGATAGTATA